GTTAGATCTAGTAAGCGCACGTGCGAAAACTGAGTAGAGCTCACTCAGCCTGTTCGCCTCACAATCGAGTGTGCTGTTTCCCCCTTTCAATTTCCATTTTACGCCGGGCAGTCAGAGCAAGCGGAGGTCGAGGAGATCAGAGGGACAAGAAAATGTGCCTGCTCCCTGTCACGATGTCAACGTTTCATTCATTCATTCTGTTTTCCAGTAGCAGCAAACAAACAGTAGCAGCAGCAGTAGCAGCAGTAGCAGCAGTAGCAGGTAAGATCGCGTTATTGTAATAGCCTCCCCTGGGGCCGCTTTTTCTTTATGTGGAAATAGCATTTAGAGTTGTGTCCCTTGTCGTAGCGGTGTTGAGATTTACGTTTCGCCTGCGTTGACTCAAAAAGCACTATTTTGTCCCACCGGGCGTGTCGCAGCAGCAGTTGTAAACTCACATCCTGCTTAAGACGTAAAGGACGTCGTGACAAATTACTTGCTATGATTTGGATAGTGATTGAATTGCGTAACATGGAGATGAAACCAAGATCACTACGAGAACGCAGGCGGTGCAGGATTGCAAATGAAGACACGTAGCAAACCATACTTACCTGGCACGGGAGGCACCATGATCACGACGGCGGTCCTCCCAGGGCGAGGCCTTTCCATTGCACTCCGGTTTGGCTGACCCCTGCGATCACCTCAAATGCGGGTGACTCGAGTGCGTAATTTTTACGTAGGGGGGACTGCGTTCGCGCTATCCCCTGTCATAATAACCATTCAATGAAAGTTCAGGAAAGGAAGTACAGCACACACAAACACACTTGTACAAGCACAACACGCAGAAACAAACACAGCTCACACAGACACACAAACACACAAACACGCAAACACAGCACACAGAAACAATAACAGAACGAGCCCGGTGGCCGTAGGCCAGATTCTAGATCTACTACTACTACTGTTTGTTCGTCGACAGCGTACTTGGGATCATTTCATTTGATCCCTTCTGATCGCCGTTTGATCTCAAGGACGGCGGTCGTTCTTCTAGCAACAGATTTCACACCTATGTGCCATGTCTCGGAGGTCCGCGATCTGAGCTGAGCGCACCCTTTGTTGGGAAATGAAAATTAAGGTAATGTTTCTTGACATTTTTATGCTTATTATCATCATTGTTAATTTTTTTATGCGTTTGTTGACGCACTTTGCAGTACAGTTTCCTTTGTCCCTCCCCCCAACACCTCGCCCGTGTCCATTTAGAGTCATGCCTTGGGTGTAGGTGTTGGTGGCGTGATGAAAGAAACTAGCCTTTCCGTGCCGGCAGCACACGACGCGGCGCACAGAAAATCACACCTCTGTCCGTTACGCAACTGTCCTGATCAGCCCTCCCGCTCCTGCCCTGCGGCGGGGTCATTTAATTTTGATTTTTTTCCCCACCCCTAAGAATAAATACTTTCTGCTTTGAGGATTAGCGGCGTTGCCTTAGGCTCTCTTTCAAAATAAATAGTAATGGATTGAAGAGAAGAAGGCCCTAGATGTAGCCTTGGCCCCAGCCCCAGGAGTAATGGTTTGTTTTGTTTGGGGTTTTTGGTTTTGTTTGTTAGTGGGTTTGTTTGTTTGTTTGTTTAGTTAGTTAGTTAGTTAGTTAGTTAGTTAGTTAGTTAGTTAGAGTTAGTTAGTTAGTTAGTTAGTTAGTCAGTTAGTCAGTTAGTTAGTCAGTTAGTCAGTTAGTCAGTTAGTCAGTTTGTTTGTTTAGGGTTTTTTTTGTGTTGTTTTTATGTTTTGTTTTGTGTGTTTTTTTTTGGTTTGGTTTGGTTTGGTTTGGATTTTTGTTTGTTTGTTTTGGGGGGGTTTCTTTTGGAAAAAAATGTTGTTTCAAAAAGATGTATTTTAAAAATAGCACAATAATGGTAGAATCTAGTCATGAAAATAATATTGATAATGAGGAGGATAATAATGATGATAGCAGTTTATTTCAAAAACAGTAAAAGGTGAAAACATAAACAGTGAAAGAAATGGAATACGAAGAAAATCAGAAATAAAACTTGTTTATTGTGTTTCTGTACAACAACCAACTTCTCATCGGTTTATCCAGTCTGTTTGGTTTTTTACCGTAAACATGTTTCAATTTGCCTTTATTAGGTCAGCACCACAAGAAAAACGTAACCGAAACAGAAAGAAAAAAAAATTGAAAAAAAAGAAAGAAAAAAAAATAAGAAGACAAAAATAATAATAAATTTAAAAATTTTTAAAACACCACAACAAGAAAAAAGAGGAAAAAAGGCAAGCAAAAAACACAAACAGAAACAACGACAACAGCAAGCAACCAAAGGATAACCAAAAAATCAACAAGAAACAAACAATCGCCACTGTGAGCCACGAGCACGTTTTGGGATAAAAAAGGATGACCGACTCAGCCGACTGCGACTCGTTTGTGGTCGAAGGGAGGCAAACAAATGCCTGGCGAGGAGCAGCGACGACGAGCGCAATAGCGGCCCTTCACTTTTTTTCCACGAGGGTCGCCCCCCTTCCCGTAGACACGCAATAGGTGTGAGAGGGTGAAAATAGTGGCATTTTCCCTCGAAAACGTGAACCACAAAGGGTACGCAGTGAACACCGGCCCTAGGTGCAATGACGCAACCCAGCAAAACGGCTGGTCCAGACTGGGATCGAATTATCCAACGGCCGTGTTACGTGGAGCATGCTAATAGTGCGGGGCTGGTGAGAAAAGCAGTTGCAGCGCGCTGGTGAGGAAACTTCGCCCATTTCTCGGCATCGCTTCTCGGCCTTTTGGCTAAGATCAAAGTGTAGTATCTGTTCTTATCAGCTTAATATCTGATACGTGGCTTCCTAGCCACTACGATATTAAACTGATTTTTGGACACAGGCGAGATGCCCGGGGCTTGCTCCGCTCTCGCCACGGGTCGGCCCGGTATTGCAGTCCCTCCGGGAATGGCCCAATATAAGCAAACAATGTACGAATGGTTCTCCAAACAAACAGACAAACAAATCACACACAAGCGCAAATGTACACATGATGTAGATCTAGATGTACAACAATTGTCGCATGTGTAGCTGCCCGCTCGCTTCAGTGTGTTGTTTAGATCTAGTAAGCGCACGTGCGAAAAACTGAGTAGAGCTCACTCAGCCTGTTCGCCTCACAATCGAGTGTGCTGTTTCCCCCTTTCAATTTCCATTTTACGCCGGGCAGTCAGAGCAAGCGGAGGTCGAGGAGATCAGAGGGACAAGAAAATGTGCCTGCTCCCTGTCACGATGTCAACGTTTCATTCATTCATTCTGTTTTCCAGTAGCAGCAAACAAACAGTAGCAGCAGCAGTAGCAGCAGTAGCAGCAGTAGCAGGTAAGATCGCGTTATTGTAATAGCCTCCCCTGGGGCCGCTTTTTCTTTATGTGGAAATAGCATTTAGAGTTGTGTCCCTTGTCGTAGCGGTGTTGAGATTTACGTTTCGCCTGCGTTGACTCAAAAAGCACTATTTTGTCCCACCGGGCGTGTCGCAGCAGCAGTTGTAAACTCACATCCTGCTTAAGACGTAAAGGACGTCGTGACAAATTACTTGCTATGATTTGGATAGTGATTGAATTGCGTAACATGGAGATGAAACCAAGATCACTACGAGAACGCAGGCGGTGCAGGATTGCAAATGAAGACACGTAGCAAACCATACTTACCTGGCACGGGAGGCACCATGATCACGACGGCGGTCCTCCCAGGGCGAGGCCTTTCCATTGCACTCCGGTTTGGCTGACCCCTGCGATCACCTCAAATGCGGGTGACTCGAGTGCGTAATTTTTACGTAGGGGGGACTGCGTTCGCGCTATCCCCTGTCATAATAACCATTCAATGAAAGTTCAGGAAAGGAAGTACAGCACACACAAACACACTTGTACAAGCACAACACGCAGAAACAAACACAGCTCACACAGACACACAAACACACAAACACGCAAACACAGCACACAGAAACAATAACAGAACGAGCCCGGTGGCCGTAGGCCAGATTCTAGATCTACTACTACTACTGTTTGTTCGTCGACAGCGTACTTGGGATCATTTCATTTGATCCCTTCTGATCGCCGTTTGATCTCAAGGACGGCGGTCGTTCTTCTAGCAACAGATTTCACACCTATGTGCCATGTCTCGGAGGTCCGCGATCTGAGCTGAGCGCACCCTTTGTTGGGAAATGAAAATTAAGGTAATGTTTCTTGACATTTTTATGCTTATTATCATCATTGTTAATTTTTTTATGCGTTTGTTGACGCACTTTGCAGTACAGTTTCCTTTGTCCCTCCCCCCAACACCTCGCCCGTGTCCATTTAGAGTCATGCCTTGGGTGTAGGTGTTGGTGGCGTGATGAAAGAAACTAGCCTTTCCGTGCCGGCAGCACACGACGCGGCGCACAGAAAATCACACCTCTGTCCGTTACGCAACTGTCCTGATCAGCCCTCCCGCTCCTGCCCTGCGGCGGGGTCATTTAATTTTGATTTTTTTCCCCACCCCTAAGAATAAATACTTTCTGCTTTGAGGATTAGCGGCGTTGCCTTAGGCTCTCTTTCAAAATAAATAGTAATGGATTGAAGAGAAGAAGGCCCTAGATGTAGCCTTGGCCCCAGCCCCAGGAGTAATGGTTTGTTTTGTTTGGGGTTTTTGGTTTTGTTTGTTAGTGGGTTTGTTTGTTTGTTTGTTTAGTTAGTTAGTTAGTTAGTTAGTTAGTTAGTTAGTTAGTTAGAGTTAGTTAGTTAGTTAGTTAGTTAGTCAGTTAGTCAGTTAGTTAGTCAGTTAGTCAGTTAGTCAGTTAGTCAGTTTGTTTGTTTAGGGTTTTTTTTGTGTTGTTTTTATGTTTTGTTTTGTGTGTTTTTTTTTGGTTTGGTTTGGTTTGGTTTGGATTTTTGTTTGTTTGTTTTGGGGGGGTTTCTTTTGGAAAAAAATGTTGTTTCAAAAAGATGTATTTTAAAAATAGCACAATAATGGTAGAATCTAGTCATGAAAATAATATTGATAATGAGGAGGATAATAATGATGATAGCAGTTTATTTCAAAAACAGTAAAAGGTGAAAATAATATTGATAATGAGGAAAGAAATGGAATACGAAGCAGTTTATTTCAAAAACAGTAAAAGGTGAAAACATAAACAGTGAAAGAAATGGAATACGAAGAAAATCAGAAATAAAACTTGTTTATTGTGTTTCTGTACAACAACCAACTTCTCATCGGTTTATCCAGTCTGTTTGGTTTTTTACCGTAAACATGTTTCAATTTGCCTTTATTAGGTCAGCACCACAAGAAAAACGTAACCGAGACAGAAAGAAAAAAAAATTGAAAAAAAGAAAGAAAAAAAAATTAGAAGACAAAAATAATCATTAATTTAATATTTTAAACACCACAACAAGAAAAAGAGGAAAAAGGCAGCAAAAACACAACAGAAACAACGACACAGCAGCACCAAGGATAACCAAAAATCACAAGAACAACATTCGCACTGTGAGCACGAGCCGTTTGGATAAAAAGATGACCGACTCAGCGACTGCGACTCGTTTGGTCGAAGGAGCAACA